GGGTGGTGTTATTCAAAAATACAAAGCAGTGTTACAACCATGATTGACTCACAAATAAGAGTTGAAGTTGCAAGAAATAGGACAATGTTAGAAAGTTTTATAAGGTGTGCCATATATTGTGCTTTGCAAGATATTGGTTTGCGAGGATATTCTGAGACAACTGAAATCTCTGAAATTGTGAATAATGATATTGAACAGAAAACAAAGGAAATTTTTTAGAGCTTGTAAAGTTATTATTTATTGAAAGTCAAACATTTTGTTCAGCTTATGAAGCATTACCAAAGAATTCAAAATACACTAGTAAAATAATTCAAAATGATATGATAAGTGCAGCTTCCACAATGATTGCTCAGTCTATATTAAAAGAAGTACAAGAAGGTAGTTAAATATTCAGCTTAATTGTTGACGAAGCCAGAGACAATGCAAAATTAGAGCAAATGAGTATTTGTATTTGGTATGTACATAATTCAGTGATAAAAGAAAGGTTTTTAGGATTTGTTGAACTCAAAGATTTAAATGCTAATGTCCTAAGCTGTAATATTAAATTATTTTTGAATAATTTTGGACTAGATTTGAGTAACTGTGTAAGTCAGTCTTATAATGGAGCATCAGTTATGTCTGGTCAGTTCAACGGAGTTCAAAAAAAATTAAAGATATGTCAGGAAATTGAATTTAGTTTTAGTTTATGTTTCAAGAAAGGTAGAACAAGTACATAATACTATAGGTCTCTTGGAAGCAGTATATGAATTTCAGTCATCATCAACACTAAGGTATCAAGTATTTTTTGATAAAACTGGGTCGAAAGTCCCTATGCACTGTGACACACATTGGGTATCAAAATTTAAAAGTAATTGTTACTTTAAAAACAACTTTACATTAGTATTAACAGCATTAAAAGAGTGTACTGAAAGTTCAGAATCTAAGGAAGCTGCTGAAGCTAAAGAATTACTAATTCAAATGAATTCTTTAAAAACTATTGTGTTACTTTTTTGTTTGGATTATATTTTGTCTTTAGTAAATATTCTATCATTAAACTTATAGACAACAACACTTGACTATAGCCATTGTGCAAAATTGATCAAATCCATTATGGAACAATTGATCAATTTAAGGTCAGAAAAAATATTCATCAATATTTACGATGAAGCTGTAAGTGTATTTCAGACTTCGAATGTTGAATCTAACAATACACTACATCCAACAAGAGAACAGAGAATTTCATCAACACTGGATAACTATTTAACTTATTCAACACTTGGTGCTAGTACTAGTAGAAAAGAAAAACAAAACATGTCCTTTAAGATATAGAAAATGAATTTAAAAGAATCTTTTTCCAGATTTTAGATAACATGAATAATGAAATGATTTATAGATTTACCCAAAACAATGAAATATTGAATTATATCCATGCAAGTGACACCAAATCAAATGAATTTCTAAATTCATATTTGTTAGTTAAATTAGGTAATATGTATCAATCATATACAACTAATGACTTTATAGAAGTATTGAAGAACCAGTGTCTGATTGGAAAATCTTTATTTTTGGATAATTTAACATTATCTGACTTAAATCAACAAATAAGCAACTATGGTGAGACTTTTGACCATGTAAAAAAAATAATTGAATGGTTCATGGTCATTCCTGTGTCTTCAGCTAGTTTTTCCAGCATGCACCGTGTTAAGACATATTTAAGATCAACTATGAAGAGT